AGGCTCGGGTTCGTACTTCGGAGGCTCGGGTTCGTACTTCGGAGGCTCGGGTTCGTACTTCGGAGGCTCGTGAACTTCCTTATTGCCTAATCCTTCTAGTTTGTATCCTTTGCTTTCCACAAACTTCGCAGATGCCACTGGTTCGTACTCCTCAGCTCCGCCTCCGAAGCCTCCTCTATATTTTAGAAATGCTTTTCGGTAGCCGACGAGTGCCAGTGGATGAACTTTGAATGGACGATGCTTATACCATGGTTCATGCTCCTTGATTTCGTGTCCACTCAGCTCATGACTGCTTCCCCAGCAAAACAACAGCGCTATTAGCCAGACACCGAACAGAACCATTGTCCTAAAAAAGGTTTTAACCCGACTTGCAAAACAAATTATTTCTTCACTTACCAATCACTCTGCGTAAATTACTGCCCACTACCCGCGTGTCTTGCTTTTATGGAAGGGGACGCAGCGATATCTGGTGAAATAGTGGGATCATCATTGATTATAATTGTACTGTTGCTGAATATTTGAATAATTGACCACCATCAGGTTGATGATTTCAACACTTGGCGAAAGTGGCATGTTCGCAAGTATTTGCATGAATGTCTGTGAAACATTGTGTATCTACAGCTGAAACTACTTCTCAGTATTTAAATTTTGGAATCTGTTTCTGCGAAGCAATTTTCGTCATACATAGAGTATTGAACATTTTGCTCCTTCTTATTTTGTGATCTGTATACTTCGTCAAATGCATGTTTTATGCGTTAATATGCATGACCCTGAGTGCAGCGGGATCGCCGTAAATTGCAACTGTTCACTGTTGTATTAGTCAAGTCTATGAGCGTTCGTTAAATTTATCTTATCGCTTTCTGCTTCATATCCGTTATGTAAATTCCATTTTTGTTCCACAGTATTTCTTATATTCATTCATTCAAGTAGGATTTTGCCTTGACGATGGAATTTATTTCTGTGAATGCGTTGAGAATAAGGGCAAATTAAACCAAAACCAGATGGTCAGGAGTGATTGAGATTTGTTGTGCCTGTAGTGAACTGTAAAAGGTGCAGTGGTAATGGTAGAATCACAAAACTTCTTTTCTGTTAATGATACGCCTTTATCTGAATATCCGTATTTGTAACAAATCCGTGGTCTGAAAATCTGCACATTTGTGCGTATGCGTTCCTCCTGTTGAAAACATTTGCTGCAGCTAAGTGCATGAAAGGCGTCTTGAATGATTCTGAACCTGAAAAATCAGATTAACGTTTAGAGAAAGGGATGCGGTAAAAATACAGCTGCATGTTCCGTCGTAAGCGATTTTTGATAGCTTTCAAAGCTTCTGTTAGTCATGCATTTAACAATTGATCGAGAATTTAAAATTAGATTGTTTCGTTTGAACTGTTCAAAGTTAAATTTTCCACGTCAGTCTGACATGAGAAGATCTGTAGGCTGACAACAGGTTTTACCGCTAACAACTAAAAAGTAATGAACACACTACGCTGCCGTAATAAAATAGGCTGTACTACGCATCCTGTTATGATTTAACTCAGCCATTGCCGGTTCCATGTCCGGATAAGAAAAGAGGAGGGTTGTAAAGCGTAGTGAAGTCTCCGTAATTTCCGTAAAACTTAGCTACCTGCCCCTCGTGCTATTTCCGTCCTCGAACATTATACCGACTCGGTTAGCGCCCGGGTTATAAACGGCCGCGCCGCTCTGGCGTGATTGAGGCAGGATGCCAAAAGCCGGCGATCAAAACCTGCTCATCGCCATCTAACTTCATGGGTGGAAAAGCACAATAACGGCTGCCGAGGATCGACGAAATGACAACGAACGTATCAATCAGCAATCAAGTCGCTCCAGTTCTGAGCAGAGGAAGCCGGCAACACTATGTAATTATAGCACGTCAGAAACGGCTCCACGACAACGACACTGCCATTGACAGCTTACAGTCAGAAATTGGAATATATCTACACTCAGAGGGAAAGTGCAGGAGTTGCTTGTTGAGGCCGTAAGGTACCAACTCGACATAGTTAGACTCTCGACAACGGAGCGCCAATATTCGGAATTTCTGAACAAGGGTGCAAGCTACTTCACTCAGCTATCGACATCAACGCGTGCATTCAGGCTGGTGCTCTGGTAGAACCAAACCTGGCTGAAAGGATCACTGAATAGAAGCCTGTCAACAGAAGAGTGGCAATTCTCCCACTGAAACTGCAACAGGTCAAAAGCTTTCACTTGTTTACAGGTCTGTGCGCCCAATTTAGAGGGAGAATAGGTCCTTCCTTGAGGAAATGGAGTGTGCTTTTTATGAAGTGCCGACTGCGTGACCCTCATTCTACTGGAATATTTTAATGTCCAATTCAGAGTAAACACTGAAACGTGGAAAGGCGTGATTAAAATTAACGGCCCTAGTAACCACAACAATAACGACATGAAGTTATTGCGGTTTGGAGCAAAAAACGAACTCTCCATCATGAACACCTTCTTTGAGAATCGAAGCATCCATCAGTATACCTGGTGCAGGAAAGCCTGTGCGCAGAAGTCTATGATGGATTTGATTATCATATCGTCTGACTTACGACGCTCTGTGATGGATATTCGTCTTAACAAAGATGCGGAGCTGTCAACCGATCACCACTTTGTGGTTGGCATGCTACGCCGTGAGAAATGCGCCATGCGATTATCTGGTGGCAGAAGCAATAAGATATTTAAATAGGAAGCACTATCTTAGGCGGATACAAAAGCGAAACAAGCAGATAACATGGTACAGCAGTTTGAAGAGATCCCGGTGATGACCACCGATGTGGAAACCGAGTGGCAGGTCTCTAAGAACGGCTTACTCCGGGCTGCTGCCGAATGCTGCGGATTTAAACGGGATGACCTGTTGCCTGCACGTCAGAAATGAACTTCTTGGTGAACATGAGAGGTACAACTTGCAGCTGAAGAAAAGAAAAATGCATTCAAGAAATGGCTTGGATACAGAGTCATCTACTCGTATGCCGTACATCGTGGCGCGCAAGGCGGCAGCGAAAGCAGTGGCGAAAGCTAACGTTGATTCCTCGGAGAAGTTTGGTGAGGTGCTGGAGTCATATTTCCAGACGGCACATAAGGTATTCTGGCAGACCATCCGCAGGCACCGAGGTGAAAAGAAGAACAGTCTAAGAGTCTTGAAGGACAGGTCTGGACACCCTCTTGCCGAGGATAATGACATTCTTTGACAATGGAGAGAGTTCTTTGAGGAACTCTTTAACTCTGAGCAACTATAGGAAGACTCACTCGTAAAGCAGCAGAGAAGGATGCTACTATTGTTGCTGATGAAATCACACAAGCTGTGAATTGCTTCAAAAGTGAAATTGACTAAATCCGCCTTGAAGCTCAAAGCAGTAGACGAACAGGACATATGATAGCTCACGCGTGTCTCTCATACTGCAGTGACTACGGGGAAGACACCAGCGGGCTAGAGAACGGGAGTTATTGTAGCTCTATTCAAGAAGAGCGACCACAAGGAGTGCTCCAATTATCGTAGCATTACATTATTAAGCCTTCCAGGTAAACTATGCGCAAAGGCGCTGGAAAGGAGGTGCCGCAGAATAACGGATTCCAAGATACAGCAAGAGCAGTGTGGTTTCAGGCCCTGTCGAAGCACCGCTGACCATATATTTGCCCCCTGCGCCAGATTGTTGAGAAACCGTGGGAGTACGCCCGTCCGGTGTACGTGTTTTGTGGACCTAGAAATAGCCCATGACCGGACCCCACGCAACAGTCTGTGGACATGCCTTCGAGCATACGGGATAGATAGCCAGCTGCTAAAGGCCATCTAATCACTGTATTCTGATAGCAAGTGTTGCGTCAGAGTAAATTGCGTTAAGCTTCAGCCTTTCAGCGTTGGCACCAATCTCCGCTAGGACCACATCCAGTCTCCTCTCCTGTTTGGGTTATAAATTTATAAAATAATGAGGCGTAGTCAAGGCAATGAGTTTATCGATATAGGAGATGTGGAGACGAGAAAGTCGCTGTTTGCAGACTACCTTGTTTCATTGGTGTCTTCTGAAATGGATATGCTG